CCGCTCTGCAGGTTCTCTTATTCCACTGCATCCCTATGAGATAGAGACTATTTTTTAGGGTGATCCTGAAATCAGAGAGCCGCTTACACGCTGCGGACTCTGAGAGGTGGTACAGGGTGAGACACGACATGGAAAGACAGGACACTGGTCCCTGAACACACAGCAGGGACCTTAAGGCTCGACAGATAGTCAGTAGACCAGCAGAAGTGGGAACCTGCTGACACACATACCGAAGGCAGCTTTCTCACAACAACAAAGAAGAACTAGGATTATATTAAAAACATGAGTTCTCAACAGTGCCACCACAACCATCCAGGTGAGAGGTGAGAAAGGTGGCATCAATCGTTCCTGTGGACTGTAGGTTCCAGAACGAGGCAGAACAATTACCCTCCAGTTACCGTTTCAATCTGATACTCAACTGGACATGTGATTTTAGGTCTGACACGTTACTAGGTTGAGATGGGGGCGCCTCTTACTTGGAGACCAGAGAACAACAGGACTCAGGACCCACTGGGACCGATAGGATCCGACGGTCTTGCAGCCTCGCCTTGTGGAGTCTGTTCTAAGCTCCAGGAGTTGGGGGGTGTGATTAGACGCGTGGGGTGGAGAAGATGGGAAGAGGGTTTGGTGGGGATTTGCTAGTCCAAGAGGGTGTAACGAAGGCGTCAAACAGTTGGAGAACAAGTGAGAGACCAAAACCTGCTGTTGGTTCTGTAACACGTCATGCCATCTGATTCCTGAATGTCGCCATGCACTGGGGAGGCATCATGTCTGCCGTTTGTCTTGTTGCTGTTCAGTGTAAACAAGCAGAGGCAGCATAATTACCGGATCTCTTAACGAGAACACAGTGGGGTTCTGACGCTGACCATCCAGTCACAGCTGTATCTGGTGTGGTGCTGTGTATAAGTTTAGTAGAGGAAGCAAAGCAGGACAGCAGGAAGTTCAGACTAGAGTTGTGTTAGCCTGGTGAGGCTCATGGCTTTCATTAACAAGACCTACTGAATGTAATTTCTCATACAAAGATTTGCGTGTTCCATCAAACGCCAAGTGTGCTTAGCTCACAGATGATTTTCACTCATCAGTCTGCCTAGCCCAGTTCGCTAGTGAAAACCACCCACACAACACACGCAGGCACCCTGCGAACCCGGCACGATAAACTAGGCAGGAACACACGACACCCATTGTGACTATACACAGATAATCTTCGGGTTCAGCGAGTACAATCATCTTTTGTGTCTAAATGACTGGAAGGAGGAAAAGGGAGGAAAAAGATGTGATTGGTGGAGATACAAAAATGGCCATCGCCTGCGTGTATCTGTGTTATGTTGTTACTAACCTTCACGTGAGGTTGAGCGCACGAGTCAGGTGCATCCTCGGCAACGCTGAATGACATCAGAGGAAGTTCCTTTCCTCAGGCGCTCCAAAGATTCACCACTCTCTGCTCACATCCTGCAGGAGCACCGAGCAAACGGTCCTAACTGTGGTGTGCCGTGCATGTGGTTGTCTCAGTGTATGTTCTTTTTTCAACAACCTCGTGCTGAAGGGGAAACTTCATATGTGCACTTGTGAAGGCCTTCAGTGTGAATATATTAAAGTAACGGAGCGCCCCAATTCATCTCTGGCATAAATCAGGTTCTCGCTAAGGAAACAATCACTGCAGATTCATGGAAACTGTCCATAATCTTGTTGAACAGATTGCTACAGAAAAAAGGGAAGAAAATGAATAAGTAATGTAATCATGAAATATGAGTAATCTAATACTATCTAATGTTTTTGGGAGTTTACATGGAGCTTTGCAATGTTAAATTCATCTGTTTACCTGTGGATTGCATCTGCAGGCAGGGTATGAGCTGTTTGTCCGTGGACGGTGAGAGTCTGCAGGAGTGACACATCAGCACGCAGTAGATGTAATCCCGCCGCGCATTCAGCAATAAGGCCAAAAGACCCGATGGTTTTGTGGTCAAGGTCCCTACCACCCCCACCACCCCCAGGGACCTGCCTGACTAACCTCCGTGGCTTCACAGCCACACTGCAGCTGAGGCATGAAGACACCAAAAAACCTACAGCTCCTGTGGAAGTGAATAAACTACAGGATTCACTCTGTAAGAGAAAATATGAGACAGGTGAGCTCTGGTCATAGTGGAGAGGAATGGATGCACAGAAGCATCAGCCCCGTTAAAGGCAGAGTTCTGACAAGAAGTGAGGAAATTTGTCAGAAACAAGAAACATGTTGGAGCGGGTTTTTAAGACTGATAACAGGTAGCTTATTTATCAGGATAAAGACTGGTTATAAATCACTTTTGCTATGATGAATGTAAGATACTGTGTTGCCTGTATGACTTTTGTAACATTCTTAGGTTTTTTAGCAAACATTTTACTGAACGCAATACATTGCACATTATCAATCAAAAGTAAGTAATTTAGTGTTTTCTAAAGGGTCTTTTATGATAAGATCGTGTGTTCATGAACTCCTCTTGGTTGAAATTGTGCCACTGTTTGACACGTGGTAACCTTGCCTTGCCTAACTCTGGGCACTCTGATGGTGAAGCCATTGGCTGCACTTTTCAGTTGGAGGATCTCAGTCCAGCAGCCCGTTCAGGCCGCCAAGAGGGAGATTACCACCAGCCTGCGTTATGAGATTTATAGATTTATACCACAGATTAAACCCCTGTTATTATGTCAAAACTGATAGTTTGGGTTTAGTGGATGTCTCTGGGGATTATTACAAATTGCTGCTCAGTAATTTTTGTCTGTTTTTTTCTGGCAGAAGTGCTTGTGCTCTGAGCAGTCTGCCACTTTAGAGGCTTAATACACC